GGCGGCCCGGGGGCGGCCCCGCGGGGAGGCCGGGGGTCCGGCGGGGAAGGGAAGGAAGGGCCGTCGGGCGGGGGGCGCCGCCGCCGCCGGCGGGAGGCGCCCGGGGAAGGGGCGAGAGCCGGAGGAGCGCGGGCGCTAACGCCCGCCCCGAGGCGAGGGGAAGGGGCGCCCGAGCCAGGTTTCGGTTTTGCGGTGTCGGGGAAGCCCGCCCGGGCTCCGCTGGAGCCATTTTATGTTGCTTTGTAAGAAGGAGACGATGGTTGAAAAGCACTTATCCCACTCCGGCCGAATCGGCTAAAGCTGGGCGAAAGCCCTCAACTCTGGCGAGCGAGGCAGTATTTATTTTAAAAAAAAAAAAAAAAAAAAAAAAAAAAAGCCCCAGACCTCTCCCCCGGTCCCTTCTCGTGCTTTCTACACCTTGGCGGGTGGCTCGCTGCTGCACTTGTACTCACAGAGGTTTGCAACAAGCAGTCACACAGACCTGCGCTGCCACCGAGCCCCCCCGGCCGCCGCTCCGCTCCCCGGCGCGCCCCCGGCCGCGACCCCCGCCCCGAAGCGCTGGAGGAGACAAACCCGGCGTCCCGGCGGCGGGCTCGGCCCCCTTGTTTGTGGCTCTCAGATCCATCATGGCTTCCCCCTGCCTTTCTGCCTCCCTGCTCCTTGTGTTCCTCCTCCCTGTGGCTGCCCTGTTTATATAGCGCTATTGCCGCTCTCTAATATAGACTCTGCTAGGATGGGAAGGTGCTTTCCAGCCCCACGTCACCGCCTCTCCATTTAAACACCACATCAGCCTTTAAATAGGGAGCGAGCCGCGGAGCGCGGGCTGGGAGGTGCATGCGTCCGCGGCGGAGGCTGGCAGACGGGCGGCTTGTCCCTCGGATCCCGACCGGCCTTTCCCACCGGTTTCTCTTCCTTCCGCGCTGCCCGTCCCTGTCGCCACCGGCCTGCGGAGCAGTGGTGCTTTGCGGGGGCGAGGGTGTCTCCTAGTCGGTGTAAATGGGCTTTCCTTTGCTTCTACGCATTGCACAAAGACAGTTTTCATCTCCCGCATTTGAATCTGTTTACCTTTTTCTTCCTTTTTTTTAAATTTTTTTTTTAATTTTAATTTTATTTTTATTTTTGTTGTTTGATTTTGGGTTTTAGTGTGGGATTTTTGTTTGTTTAGGCTTTGGGGTTTTTTTTGTCCCTGGCGAGCAGCTTACACACGTTCCTGTGCTTCTGTAAAGTCCTCAAAGTAGCTTTTCTGCTCCGTGGGGAAAGGAGAATTTAAACGGTTCTTACCCAGTGTATCAAGGAGAGTTGTGGTATTTATTTTATGGCGCTTTGCCAAGGTCTGACTACAGCTGTTTCCCCAAAAGTGATGTTAATAATCAGGTTTTATGTATGGGTCGTGGGCTGCAGATGCTGGATTTTTGTGTTTCTGGTGCCTAAAATGTACAAATATATTTTTGCAGTCCAGGCAGAGCAGTGGTTTTAGAATTTTCAATACTTGGTTTTATTACAGTGTTTGGTATACTGCAAAGTACACAAAAGAAAATGCAAAGCGTCTTAGTTTTCTTTTCCAAATCTGAAATTTTATAGACCTGCCTGTGAGTTAGGTTCATGCAATTGCAAGGAAACATCTTTGATTTGATATTTTGTCAGCTTCTGTATTAGAAAATTTTAGGAAAGTAGTCAGCTGTTACATAGATGGCAGTTACTCTGCAGGATGCGTATTGAATGCGTGTGATTTGAATCTGATAGTTGTCCTTGTGTTTATAAATTTCTGGCTTTGTGTGTTTATTGTAAGAAAAGGATTTATTTCTGTGTAGGAAATTTAGAGAATTTGCTTTTCTTTCTCAACCAAGGTAGCACTGAGTAGCAAAAAGTACATACATTGAATAATCTCTTGAATACTTGTACATATTTTTGACTCAACAATTTATTACGACTTGCTTTCTCTCACTGTATTTCTGAACTGGAAGTTCTTTTGAAAGGTTTGAACACTGTGTTTGGAGTAGTAAAAGCCAAGCTTAAAATGAGCCTGCTTTAGGCTAATTTTCAATTAAATAGTGAAATCTTACAATTTTGTCAAATTGGATCTCATTCAGTAGCAAGAAATACATTGCTTACCTACATTGCCAAAGATGAGTAGGAATATGTTGAAATGCTGCAACCACGTGACTTTAGGAAGCTGGACTTGGAGCCTAAGTATCAATAGCATCATGTCAGCATCTGATCAAATCTGAATCGCTGGAAATCTGTTATTTGTAATAAAGGACAAATATGAGATGTTAACAGTTACATTTAGTATAAGATTTTASAGGTGATAAAGTAATTTATTTGTAGAAGTCCCCAACAAGATAAAGAAGCTCAAATTATAACGTTTGCAGTGTAGATAGTATGTGTTACCTMTTGCTGTGCATATCTTTGATGTAATTGTGACTAGAAGTAGTTACCTTTACAGTGTACTCTYGTGGCCGCTTACAGCAGTAACTGCACAGCTGGGAGAAAGCCAGCAACGTTTCAGAAAGAGCTGCAGGAGCAACCAGGAACAAACTGCTGTCACCTGGACAAAGGGTGCTGTGGTCTGTCTCTTCATAACGTGTTGGTTATTGAAAACCCAAACTACTGAAATCCCAAGTGTTGTGATAATAATTACAAAAGGTTGCAGTTTTTGTACCCTTGAAGCGTAAGGAATGTAGGAAGTGTGAGCCCCCAAAGGCATGTGGCATTTCTTAAAATAGCTTGCTGGTTGCTCCTGGATTTGGAGTGTGTGTGTTGCAGTGTCACCATACTCAAGAGTTTTCTTTWCAATATGCACAGAGAAAGTAGAATATAATCATTCCCTTATGTTCCCAGAGGGGAAAATAGTAGATTTCACGTCTTTTCTTTGTGTTGGTGGTTGTATCTAATAAATCAGGAATTTTAATTGTTGTCTTTAATCTGTAGTAAGTGGTTGGAATAGTGTTTATTGAAGAGTGATTTGAGTATTTTGCTCTTAAAAGAGCTTGACATTTACAGCAGTTTACTCTTTATGAGGGAGGCMCTTTAATATACAACAGATGAAAGCACAATTATTTTAATAGCAATCTTTAGGGTTTTCATTTGTTCTTATTGCTTTCTCTGACTGCAGAAACTTATTGAAAAGCTCACCTGCTATCCCATCTTTTGACTTACTCAGTAATTATATTAGTGTGTTTATTTTTTGAGTAAGCAGTGTATGAAAATAGTTTAGTCATTCATCTCCAGAGTCTTAGATGGCTTATATAAACAGCTTCAGSATCATATAAATAATGCTGAAAGCCAACACTTTGTGTATATTGAAAACAAGATAGTGTGCTTTCTTTYAAAGCCTGGAACTTAAAACCGTTTTGTATTTTACTAGATATGCTGCTTTTGGGTAGGAAAAGAGCATTTTGTGATACTCTTCAAAATTCCACTGCAAATATCTGGAAGGCATTGCTGCCCCCATTGTAGGAGATGTTGCATTCACCTGGGCTGGATGTTCAGTAGGAGTGTCCAAAAGAGAATTTCAACCAGACAGGATTTTTCTGAGTATTACGTAAATGCRTATAGGTAAAATCAGACAGACTGTTTCATTATAAGTGCGCAAATGTTTTGTTCTCTTTTTTCTTTCTCCTAATCACAGAGCCATGAGTGTATTGAGTATATTACTGAGTGATTAGAACAGAGTCTGAAAATTSTGACCCATTTTGAGATCCAGTGCACTGTGAGGCTCTTGTGGAGAGATGTRCGTGCATGTACAGACTGCTTGTGGGCTTGTTAGCCTGCATGACACTCTGCTCACTCCACCCCTGCAGGGCTGTTCTGTTTTGGGGGATTTACCTGCTCCCTTGGACTGTTGGCAGTAGTGCAGAAGGATCCTGTGTCAGCAGAGTAAACATCTGTTCTCTTAACCTGCCTTTCTGAGGTCTTGCTAAGCTAATGCTGGACACTAGAAACCAATATCTGCTTGAATTTGTTTTTTTTTCTCTTACCTACATAGGAAAAAAGGAAATTCCCAAGCAAACTGTTGGGTGGTAGAGTCAGTTTGTTGTATCTGAACATTAATATCTTTCTTACAGGGCTCTATAGACTCACAAGGCTTTGCGAATAAAACATACAAAAATACCTGATTGTGGAGATAGGAGGAAGTATCTACTGTTGGGAATTATTAAGGACTGTTGGTGTAAAATCTGTTTTATTAGAAAAGTAGACTTAATACAAGGTAGTTTAGGGTGAGGAGTATTAAAGGAGAAAATGCACCCTCCATCCTGCGGAAAGTTTGAGTGTAATTTGGGGCATACAGGTAGTTCTCTTGACTTAAATAAATTAACTTAGGTGCCTGAGGTTAAGCATGTTTATTTGCAGAAAGTGGTTTTGGCATTAAGGAACAGATGCTTTTAATATAATAAGGAACAATATGTGGAATAGGTTAAGTAGTATTTCCGTGCTAGTTGAATCATTTAAGCTTTATGCAATTTGTTTAATTATAGAAATAATAGGACTTAATGATATTGAGTAGAATGCCTTTTTACATCTGTTAYGAATTAAGGGGAGAAATAATCCTGTTAATGGGGCTTGGTATTTCTGAGTTACTTACTACATAGATTTAAAATATTAGCACTCAAGGGAGGTCTGGCTTTGAAAGCCTGTTTCAGTGTTTATAAGCTCAGTTAGCACAGTACCTGAAACCTGGATAAGTGAGTATGCAGTGTAGTATGTTTTGTTTCTTTCAGAGAGCTTTAAGTTGTGGATGTAGGTGCTGTAAATGTAGTTGTCAAGGATGGCAAACTTGCCTTGATACCTCAAGCCAGAAATTTTTAGGTTTTTTTTTTTGAAAGGCAAGTAACAAAAGGATGAATGATAACATTTCAGCTACTTGATTTGCAGCAGCATGTTTTAAAGCTGAAATGTGTTCAATAACAGAGTGGTAC